CACTAATCTCGTCATGTCCAAACTCAATATCTTCGCTATCATTATCACTGTCAGCATCATACATCATTCATCTCACTTTGGCTCGATGTATAGATGTCCCATGGATGTTAAACTTACTTGATCTCCAGACGATCCATCACTGGCCAGAAGCGTTCGGCATGCATCCCTGCCATTACTGATAGCTTCTCTCCCCTCCCCTCTCGTATGAATGTCACAGGACGAGAGCAGCTGCTTGCCGCTGCTCCTCTGGGGTGAGGCTCTGACCTCACAGTACACATGCTCCGTTAGGATCACCAAGAGCGACCTCCCGCCATAGTCTTCATCAGCAACTACCGGCTCATCATCAAGTCCCTTGAACCAAGTGCTCACAAGGTTGCCAAGAAGATTCGCTTCGACGATGAGGAGCAACAGAAAGGTCAGTCCTCCGAGGGCTGTGGGCAGAGTGAGCAGGGGGATATGATTAGAATCCCTCTGAGCATGATCTCTACCATTCAAGCGGGCGATCGCTTCTCCGTGTCCATCAGGTTCATCGACTTCAAGGAGGTGCAAGTGAATCTCAAAGACAAGTCAACGGCTGAAGAGTTCATCAACGTTGTATCCAACTTCTCCTTCTGCTCTACCCCGCAGGACTGGTTCGTCTTCGCTTACAAGACTATCGTGTCGCCCGACATAGACGGCTGGAACGTGTACAACATGGTCAGCGAGTACAAGCGGCTCGAGCTGCTGGGCGGTGAGTCGAACATGTGGAGGACGAGCACGGCGAACGAGAACTTCAGCCTGTGTGAATCTTATTCGAAGCTCCTCGTCGTTCCCTCCAACGTATCAGATGACGAGCTGCTTGCCAGCGCCCGGTACAGGCAGAACAATAGGCTTCCTGTGGTGACGTGGCGGAATGCTCAAAGTCGGACTATGTTGTTTCGCTCGTCTCAGCCGCTGGTGGGACTGCTGGGCAGGAGGTGCAAGGAGGATGAAAAGCTGTTGAGAACTTGTGTGGACAACATGGGGGATGGGAGAGGAGTCGTGGTCTTTGACTGCCGTAGCTCTAGTTCTGCCATCGCTCAACGTTTCCTCGCGGGAGGAGGCAGAGAGCTTGTTCGTAGTATGTACTACGGCATTGCAGGTACTTGAGCTGACAGAGCAGAGGAACGAGGAGGGTGGGGATGTTTGACAACCTGGCAGATTACGTGATGCTGAACATTCAGAACCTGTCATGTCAGAGAGAGCATTTCGATGAGCTCATGAGAACTTGCAAGACCATGAACGACAAGACCCTTAGAAACATTCGCATCATATCTACCCTCACCCAGAGCAAGTCAGTCCTCCGCTTTCCCCTCTCCCTCCCCTTTTCCCGACCACTTCCTCCTCCTCTCGTCCTTCTCTTCCCCTTCCCCTTCCCTTTGCCTCCTGCTGGTTCTTGTCGCCACGTTCCACCATTCTATTCTTTCTCTCTTTCTATCTCCTTGCCCGTCTCCTTTCAACCACCTTTCCTCTCCGAGCATCATTTCCTTTTCTGCTTTGATGAACCCTCTGTAGCTGGTGCAAGCAGCTGTATCAGATCACAACAGGGGCGATTGCAGTTGCCAACGTGCTGGAGAAGAAAGTGAGAGGAAGAGAGGAGGGAGGGTGCGGGAGGGGCGTCGTTTTTCTCACGATCCTGCAGGCCTCTGTTTTGATTCACTGCTCTGATGGGCTGAATCGAACATCCCAAGTCTCTTGCTTGGTTCTCCTCCTCCCCTCCCTCCTCATTCTCCGCATCCCTCCACCTTGTTTCTCCCTCATTCTCTTCCTCTGCCTCTCGCTCTTCCTCCTCGTCGTCCTAACGTTTTTCCAGGCTCAGGTCCTCCTCGACCCGTACTACCGTTCCTTTGAAGGCTTCCAGGTTGTCTCCTCCCCACCCCTCTCAGTGCTCCCTCCATCTCTGCTTGTAACGATACATGATCAGGTGCTGATAGAAAAGGACTGGGTCGGCTTCGGCCACAACTTTCCGCTGCGGCTCGGATACTTCAGCGGGGAGGGGAGGAAGATGTTCTCCCCCATCTTCATCCAGTGGTTGGACTGCGTCTGGCAGTGCATGAGGATGAGGCCGACGAGCTTTGAGTTCAATGAGAAGTTTCTCATCGCTATAGCTGAAGCCAGTATGCAACGAAGGTTCTCTCCTCCTCCTCCTCCTCCTCCTCCTCGTTCTCCACCTCCTCCTTCATCTCTTCCTCCTTCTCTTCCTCCCTTCGTATTTTCATCCTTCTCCTTCTCTCCTTCCCCTTCGCTATGCTCAGTGAATCCCTCCCCGCCTGTTCCTCCTGCCCTGCTGTTCCATCGCTCTGCCTCCTGACCTCGTCGAGCTGCTCAATTTTCTCTCCCTCCTCAATCGTCCTCAGGTACGGAACTTTTGCCTTCCAGTCTCCCTGCATGGCGACGGCGTCACGAGCGACAGAGCGGACGGTGTCAGTCTGGACAGGTTATCGTCCATAGCTGCTCAACACTTGCTACCCCTCTCTGCATTGTGCTTGAGAGTCCTTCTGCTACTCTTACGCTTCCATATCTGCTCCTATCCCTTCCCCCGCTCCCGCCCCTGCTCCTGCTCCTGCTCCTGCTCCTGCTCCTGCTCCTGCTCCTGCTCCTGCTCCTGCTCCTGCTCCTGCTCCAATTGCTGCCCGTGCCTCTATGCCCCTAGTTTCTCCCTTGTGCTCATGATTTAAAACAGATCTGCGAGCGAGGAGGTCAGAATTCATCAACCCCTTCTATAAGGACTCCTTGAGGTATCTTCAGCTGTACTTCTCGGAGAAGGAGATTTCCTTCTGGTCCGGATTTTACCTCAAAATTTCACAATCCAGCGATCTCAACATGTGATCTTGTACAATATTCCCGTGAGAAACAAACACCGCAAGAGCTTTTTTGCGCAGTTTTATTAAGAAAATTCATCGAAGAAATCCCTCGTTGAGATCTATACACTCAGTCGAGTGAAAAGACTGTCTCCCCACCCTCTCCTGCATGCGCAGCAAGGTCACGGGCAAGAGACAAGTCCTTCACCGCTCGTCAAGTCCTGCAACCGGAACGGAACTAAAAAATAACAAGTCGGCAGGGAGTCCCACCGACAACAGTTGACCATCGTCCTTGTCATCATTAGAAGTGATCGTGGGTTGAGAACTGGCTCCCTCAACGGCCGATGCTCCCCGACGAGTTCTGTCGATTAGCTGTAGGCGAGAGGGAGGCGGAAGTCTTGGAGTTGAGGTGATAGCTCATGAACTTCTCTGCGCGTATCCTCTCGATGTTCTGCTGTGATTCAAGTTCTGATTTCACGTTCTGATAGCGTTGGAGCAGCCGCTCGAGATCGAGTTGCCTCTGCTTCTTCTGCTCCTCTCGCCCCTGCACAGAACAAAGGTCAATGCACATGACTAGGCGGCACAGGGAGGTGTCAGCAAAGTCACAAAAGGTCAAGCACAAGGTAGGAGCGTCCACAACAAGTAGCAGAAGGAGCAACAGGTGCCTCACCGTCTGCACTCGCTTTCTCAAGGCCCCAAGCTCTGACGTCTGCTTCGCTTTGAACTTCTCCACGACATTGGAGAGCCTCATTTGATGTTGATTTCTCATCTTCTCGAGCTCGAAGGCCTCCAAGTTGTCTGCCTTAAGTTTGATCTTGTGAGCCTCTGCATACTCCTTCTGCTTCGCAAGCGTTTGCTGGATCTTTCTCAGATTCAGGAGCTCCTTTGAGAACTTGGGTTTTCTCAGAGGTTCGCTCTGCGCGTTTCGAATGTATTCCATCAGCTCAGTCCCATGACGCTCCTTCATTGCTTCCTCCAGGTCTGCGCTCTTCTGTTCAAACTCCGCCATCCTCTTGTCCCACAGCGCGTTGAACTGCTGGAATTCGAGCATGTGTGCCTCCTCTACACCCAACCGCTCGGCAATCTGCCTGCTCCTCATCGCCTCTCTCCGCCTACAAACACATGATCAGAAGGGAGCAAGCGGATACCATCGAACAGAGGGAGAAGACAGACAACAGACAAGATGAGACTACCTATTCTCTTCATGCTGACGGAGTTCTTCAAGACGATTCTTGGCGATCTCCGCTTCGACATACTTGCCTTGCCTCTCACAATTCTTTCGATGCTCCTCCAGAATTTGCCTGTTAAATGCTTTCAGGAAGAAGACAGATCATCGTCCAATCTCACAAGAAGTCTTGAACTGCAGATTCTTCCGTGTCCAACGCCTGAGATGAGTCCAAGCTCTTTTGGTTTTCGGCCATAGTGAGCAAACCTATCAGAGCAACAAAATCATCCAGCAGCACAAAAAGTAATCTTTCAGAATTGTTAACCCCTGCTCTACGAGAATCAGCTGATAAAGCAAGTAGCTTCCAATGATACGAAACCAACGGTAGTTAGACGATGCCCACTTGGTACCTCAGTGATTTCAAGCTCTCAAGTGCGAAAGGAAGAAAACAAAGGAGTGTTACACGGAACATTGATCACAAACACAACGTTCAGAGGAGAAGTTATGCGAAGGTGCAATGTCAGAGTGGTGCGACTGATACACTAAGGAAGGGAAGTAGGAACGTCGTAAGAATAGTGTCCAATGCGAAGTAAAAGTCCAGAAAATGCAGCGATAGCAGAGAGAAGTCTCACAGAGAAAGGGAAGAGAAATGGGATAAGCAGAATCTGAAGCCGGATCAAGAGCAGGAGCAAAAGCTTTTCGAGCCAGAGCAGGAGCAGGAGCAGGAGCAGGAGCAGGAGCAGGAGCAGGAGCAGGAGCAGGAGCGGGAGCAGGAGCAGGAGCAGGAGCAGGAGCAGGAGCAGGAGCGGGAGCAGGAGCAGGAGCAGGAGCGGGAGCAGGAGCAGGAGCAGGAGCAGGAGCAGGAGCAGGAGCAGGAGCAGGGGCAGGAGCAGGAGCGGGAGCGGGAGAGGGCATCAGAAGTTGAGGGAGGAGCAGGAGGAAGAGGAGGGAAGAGAGTGGTTCAGCAAGCAAGTCGAACTGCATCGCTGACTATGAAAGGATGCCGCCATTGTGCGGTAGAAGCGTTTCTGGGAGTTGAGGGGGTACGGTGGTGCTTCTGACATAGCTAGGGTCCTTGCATGGTCCGTAATCACAATTCACGTTCAGATCCCAACTATTCAATGAAATTTTGTTGAATAATTTCAAACTTTTATGGTGAATGGTTCAATTTGATTCTCTATTCTCCAAAATAGTTGTCTTGGGACACCCCTATATCTTGACCCCAGGATTGCAGCCAGGGGTAGGCTGCTATCCAGATGGGTTAGGGTGGGGGTACACCACCTGCGGTTGAAACGGCTGGACGGTGAGTACCCAAGGTTTTAAAAACCATTCCGTACTGAAATATTCATAAAATAAATATATGTTGGTAAAGCTTTTAGAAATGGTTCTTCGGATAAAACTTTTATAATGTTATTTAGTACGAGTAACGATCCCAGGAAGGGGATCATGTACAAATACTTTTTATGTTTACAATACATATCTGAGAGGTATGTCCTAAAGTGTGTTTTATTTTAGAACACTGGTACAACAGTGTAACAAAGACTTATAATTTCATAACTGCTCTATAACGCTTTCAACGGATATCAACGGCTATCGGATTGTGTCGAAAATGCCAGGGAGGAATGGAGTCAAGGAGCAGAAGCGAAGGAACAACTTGAGAACTTGAGGGAGGAGGAGGAGGAGGATTATGACGCGGCAGATGATGAAAGGGGGTCAGAGGATCTTGGGTCTTGACGCTATGACGGGAAGAGCGGACCACGATTTCATCGCTTTCACCAGGACATCGCAATCTCATCGATAGAAGGAGTCCGTGGACGGTGGATAATTTCGTCGCATCAGATAGGATTGAAGGATGGTTCCAACGAGATGATGTAAGGTAAGATGAAGCAGAGGTCCTTCGGCATCCTTGCATTGCGCTCTTCTCCCACGAGATCGTGCGTTCCACCTCCACGTCCTGAGGGCACTAGAGTATCAGAGCGATGACCAGCGTGAAGAGGACATACTTCTTGAGCATCCATAAGGATGCAGATGTATCCTCCGTGCTCTCAAGGTGGAATGAGAGGCTGTCTTTCCTCGTCAAGGGTCGAGACCCTCCGCTCAGGATCCAGGAGAGCCGATCGAGTCGTTGGGAAGTACAGTTAGACTGGAATGCCCCCCTTCCTGTCATCACCCAGTACACCAACATCCTGCGAGAGATGCCCGAGTATGGCGGGTCGACGAGCATCCTCGACCCCTTCGAGGTAGACAGGAGGGCAACAGCCTCGATCCTGGAGGGAATGTACAGGGACAGGAGTGGGAAGCAGCGAGAGGAGGAGTCGAACGAGAGTCTAAAGCATCTCCAGCCTTCCTTCAGCTCTCAGACGGGAATTTTCAGAGCTGCTGAGCTGGGGGATGTTTTGACGTTGAGGTCCATGATCCACGGCTTGCCGCTTCCTGTGTATGACAGGAGGAAAGGGACGATGGTAGCAGATCAGAGCAGCGCAGCGGCTCCGTGTGAGAAGCATGTACTTCATGTGGGAGGACAGCTGGCTCATTCCTCTGATCGTGGAAGGATCATGGGAGGAGCAGAGGCCGAGGACGTGTACCTCGCTGCTCCCCACCTGGCGTACGCCGGGGGGGAGGGGGAAGGGTTAAGGATCGAATCTAGTTTCGACCTCAAGAATGCCGACGGGCAGACGCCGTTGCACCTTGCGGTGGCAGCAGGGAAGCTCGACGCTGTTGAGTATCTTGTGCGACATGGCGCCAACGTGAACGCAACCAACAGGCTGTTCCAGACTCCTTTGCACCTCGCTGCCATGGAGGGAATGCGGGAAATAATTTCCTTTCTCCTCCGGAGCGGCGCCAACCCTCTGCTGGCAGCAGGAGACGGGAGGACTATGGTTCACTTTGCTGCTAGGAGGTGCCGAGCGGACTTTGTGGAGTGGATGCTGTTCAGCCCCGAAGGGAAGGAGCACAGGATGTTCGAGCTCTGCCTCGTCACCACCAAGGAGCACGAGACCGTCTTCCACATGGCGGCAAGGAGTGACTCAGTCTCTGCAACGCAGCAGGAGCGGGCCAACGTTGCGAAGCTCATGGTCAGAGCCATCACCTCCCTCTGCTGCCGGGACCCCTATGCTGTCCTCCAGCTCACAGACTCCAGCGGGTTCTCCGTGCTCCACGTATGCGCCCTCCACGACAACTTCGAGATGATCCGCTTCCTCTCCTCCCTCCGGCTCGACGTCAACCTGCCCTGCAAGACAGGAAACTCTCCCCTCCACCTGGCTGTCAGGATGAAGTTCGACAAGTCCGTCGGCGTCCTCATCCTGGCCGGTGCTAAGGTCTCGGCCCGCAACGCTGAGGGCGACACTCCACTGCATGTCGCTGCCTCGGTGGGAGTGCGGAGCATCTTCAAAGCTTGCTTCCAGGCTTGTCCTCCTCCTCCTCAGCCCCCGGTCATCAAGCTTCTCAACCACGCCGGTGACACCCCACTACACATCGCCTGCCGCCTCTGCGAGCAGGACGAGGAGGAGGAGGACTCAAAGGGAGAGGAAAGGAATGAGAAGCCTGAGAAGTTGAAGGGACAGCGGAAGGAGGAGGAAGGGGAGGAGAAGGAGGAGAGAAAGAAGGACAACGCTTATCACGACATCATTCAGTTCGCTGTGCTTCATCGGGCTGATCCTCTGCAGCGCAACGACAAAGGAGAGGACGCGCTCATGTGTGCGATGCGAGGAGGAAACGCGCGAACGATTCGCTTCCTCGCCAAGTCGACGTGGGACGAGGGAAAGCACCTCAGCTGCTCTCTCCTCACCCGCAACTTGCAGGGAGAGAGCGCATTGCACGCCATGGCGCGGCACAAGCATCCTCATCTGCTGAGGCTGCTGCTGTCCTGGGGAGCAGATATGACGTCCAAGTCCTGCTCGAGGACGGGAGTGGTGACGGAGGCTGTGATGAGCAAGAGCAGGGAGACACTCGTTGCTCTCCTGCAGCATGGAGGAGACCCGATGGAAGTTGACTTGTTCCTACGCACTCCTCTGTACGTACAGCGAGGAGGAAGTGGTGGTGGAGAGGAGGAGCAGGAGGAGGAGGGGGGGAAGGGGGAAGGTGAGGGGGAGGATAAGAGAGAGAGAGGAGAGGGAGAGGGAGAGGGAGAAGGGAAGGAAGGAGGAGGGAGGGGAGAGGACAATAACATCTTGACAGTCACTGGGCAGCGAAGGAGGGATCTACAGGGCTGTGCGAGGTGAACAATTGAAACTACAATGAGGAGGAGGCTGAAGAGGAGGGATAAGGTGCTGCTGGAGCATGGGGTGGAGGTCGACGAGCAGGACCGGGGAGGAAACACTCCTCTCCTCCTTGCAGCCAAGGTGGCACGTGCTGTTTGTCGCACAGTGGAAGTGACAGGGAGGTGGCAGGCCAAGAGGCTGGATGCGGTGGAGCTGCTGCTGGGCTATCGTGCAGATCCGAGGTGAGAGGAGCAGGGAGAGGAGAGAGGAAGAGTATGAGGAAGCAGGCAGGCAGGCAGGCAGGCAGGCAGGCAGGCAGGAGCACGTGGGCTAATAGGAGCGGGGGGGTTGGAGTGGGGGGAGGGGTG